CAGACTGGAACTGCTACGGAGGGCGTGGCTCCCGTTTATGAGTACGACCGATAATGCACTAGTGACTTAAGAAATTTAATGAGTTTAAATTAACTGTTTTAGTTAAAAAACGTTTTTTGACGAAGATCGATTGACGGAATGATCGTTATGTTCTTTTATTTCAGCCGCTTGCATTAGATCTGAGCGAATGTCATTAAACTTAAATAGCAAAAGCTACCCCAAGCTTCTCTATATCGCCTACCTGTTCCTCTCCTCGTTCCACCTCCCCTCCTCCTTTATCCTTCTCCTCTTCCACCTCCCCCAGCCTTTATCCTCTCCTCATTCCCACCTCCCCTCTTTATCTCTCCTCTTCACCTCCCCTCCTTTATTTCCTCTCCTCTTCACCTCCCCCTCCTTTATCTCTCCTCTTTCACCTTTCCCCCCCATCCTTTTCTCCTTCTCCTCTTCACCTGTCCCCCACCTTTCTCCTCTCCTCTTTCCAGCTCCCCCTTTCTCCTTCCCCCTTCCACCTCCCCCCTTCTCCTTCTCCTCTTTCCACCTCCCCCACCTTTCTCCTCCCTCTTCCACCTCCCCCCTTCTCCTCTCCTTGTTCACCTCCCCCCACCTTTCTCGCTCCCTTCCCCCACCTTCTCCTCCCTCCTTCCCCCACCTGTTCCTCTCCTCTTTTCCACCTCCTCCCTCCTCTTCCCCCCTCACTCACCTTGCCTCGGCCTCCTTCGCTGCCGGCCGTATTCTTGCTCCAGCGTTTCACCGCGGGAGCGTCCACCGCCGCCAACCTTCTCCTCGACTCCGTCCAGAACCAGACGAGCAGCTCTACGTGCGCGCTTCCTCGAAGTGCCTCGCGAGCGCAGCGCCTGCCCCAGCGCGCTGGAGCCTCTCCGCCGCTCGTATGCGTCGCCACCGCCAGCCGCCGCCGGGTTCGCAGCGCGTCCGTCGCTCGCGCCACGGCCTGCTGCGTCGTCCCCCGTCCGCGGGCGCTCTGCGCGCGCCGAGCCTCAATCGCCGCCGACACCGCGTCGCGCGCCCGCCCCCGCTGCTGCGCCACGTCCGCGTCCATCGTGCGCTGCGCCGCCAGCTGCCGCGAGAGGGCGCCGGGAGCGCGCGCGACGGGGTCGGCGGTCACGAGCGCGTTCTCGGCGTCCTTGAACCAGTCGAGAGCTTCGTCGACGTCGGCCAGCACCTCCAGCGAGCGCTGGCGTGCGAGGCTGAGTCGCTCGGCGCGCTTCTGCACGAGTTCGCACGCGGCGTCGAAGCGGCGGCGGTCGCGCGTCGCGAGCTCTCGCACGGTGGCAGCACCGTCGCCCGGGGAGAGCGCGGACAGCTGCGCCCCCGTGTGGTTGATGTCGTCCATGACGGCGCGGTAGTCCTCCACCTGCCGCTCCATCTCCTGCGTGAGAGACGGCGAGATGAAGTTCGTCACACGAGACAATCGTACGTAACATCATGTTTCGACTCGCTCTAATATTTTAATTCACTCCATGCAATAATACGTTGATATCGCACATCTATTTACTCCAATATTTTAATTCACTCCATGCATGTTATATGCAATATTGCAATGTTGGTTTTTTGTCGAAAGCCAAGGCCTTATTTCTAATCGAAGATAAGCCTGTATATATTATAATACATAATAATATAGGAATATGAGATCTAATCGAATGCCAACGCTCAACAGTCTGTACAGTTCTGAGTAACAATATTACGCTACCTGTATCATATCCTCTTGCTCATCCAAACTTGCCGAATCCATGTTCTTTAGTTGTGGTTCGACATGCATCAGCCAATCATTGATCCTGTTATGCGAGTCGTGGAATTCCTTGGCCAATGGCAGAGCTTCTTCAATTTGTTGCAACATCTCTAGACTCTTGACATTGAGTTCAGTATATCTGTGTTAAAATTAAATGGATGGTGAGGATATTTAATGTGTAAGACACAAATGAATAAACACAACCTTCGGATATACTTGTAATATTTTAACCTCAATGATAATGATATGCTACGATACAATACAACACGGTACAATATGAGACGATTCAATACAATATAAACCAAACAATACAATACAATATAAACCAAACAATACAATACAACACAATACAATGATAACGGTGATGACAATCTGCGGTGGCTACTCCAGGTCCAACCAGCCTGCCCTGCCCTGCCCAGCAAGAGGGGATGCTGCCTCACCGCCCACCCTCCCCCTCGCGCGCTCACCTCTGCTTGATGAGGTCTTGCTTCTCCTGCATGTGTAGGGTTTCTTCTCCCTCCCTGTTCTTCATGACCTCCTCGCCTCCCCTCCCCGCCCTCCCCGCCCACCCTCCCCCTCGCGCGCTCACCTCTGCTTGTTGAGGTCTAGCTTCTCCTGCACGCGTATGGCTTCGTCTCCCTCACTGTTCTTCATGACCTCCTCGCCCTCCCCTCCCCACCCCTCCCCTCCCCGCCCTCCTCTCCTCGCTCTCCCCACCCTCCCTCTCGCACGCTCACCTCTGCTTGATGAGGTCTAGCTTCTCCTGTACGCGTAGGGCTTCATCTCCCGCACTGTTCTTCATCAGGTCGTGTCCGCTCGCCATCACCGACTCGAACACGATCTGGTTGTCCTCGATCTCCGTGTAGACGACCTGCAATGCCAAAAAAAACATCGCGCTGAGCAACAGTGGGAGAGGAAGGGAGGATAGAGGAGTGGAGGAACCGCCAGTGGTACCTCCATGTACTGTATTGCGGTACACTCGTGTGAATCAACGAGAAACAACATAAATAAACGTGAATAAGCGTGAATAAACGCGAATCAACGCGAATCAACGCGGAGCAACACGAAACAACGCTCGACAAAGGTTAGTAGTCGCACAGTCAACGCTACCCCTAACAGGAAGCTCAGCCATTCTACCGGGGCCGACAGCCATGCGAGCGTCGGAACACCGCCGGGTTATAAACAAACGAACGTCACTCGCTACAGATCAATCGACGACAAAATATTCCACGTGCAAAAATACGGGAAAAAATCCGACCAGCGCCATCGCATCAAAAACTGCAAAAACACGCAAGAGAGGGCGCCACCGCCCCACCCGCGCCGCGCCGGCGTGTACCATGAAGAGATCCTGCTGGCGCTGCAGCGGCTCCACGTAGACGGGCGCTGCTCCGAACGCCTGCATGCGCTCCTCGGTCTCCCCCAGCCACGTCGCAAACTCCTCGGCGCCGATGTCGAACCTCTGGAGGTCGTCCAGGCCGCGGAGGAGCGAGTCGGCGCGCCGCTCCGACGCCGTGAAGAGACGCTCGAAGCGGTCGACCATCTCGTCGAGCCGCGCGTGGATGAAGTCGCGGTCGTCGGCGGAGACCATGTCCATGAGCAGCTGACCGATCTGGATCGCGCCGTCCATCGGTTCCTTCTGCGCGCAGATCTCCTCGTGCAGAGCCTGCGTGTGTGCGGTCGCATGCGGTCAGCTGGAGGTGGTGGAGAAGGAGGAGCGGGAGGGAGCGGGAGATGAGTAGGGGGAAGAGGAGGAAGAAGAGGAGGAGGAGGAGGAGGGGGAAGAGGAGGAGGGGGATGGGGTAGAGGAGGAGTAGGAGGAGGAGAAATTGGAGTGGAAGTTGAGGAGGGGGAGGAGGGGGAAGAGGAGGAGGGGGATGGGGTAGAGGAGGAGGAGGAGGAGGAAGAGAAATTGGAGTGGAAGTTGAAGAGGGGGAGGAGGAGGAAGATGAGGAGTGGGTGTAGAGGAGGAGGAGGAGAAATTGGAGTGGAAGTTGAGGAAGGGGAGGTGGGGAGGGAGGGAGAAGAAGGAGGAGCAGAGGGACGGGTAGGAAAATGGGTAGAGTAGGGGGAAGTGAAGAGAAAAGGGAAAGAACTAAGGAAGAGGAGCATGGGGGAAGAGAAGCATGAGCAGGGAGGAACGGGAGGAGGAGGATGGGGGAGGGAGACGAGAAGGAGGGTGGGGACAACAAGAAGGGAGGAAGAAGAGGAGAAGGGAGAGGAGGACATGCACACAGGCGCACAGCCATGCAAGCATGCCAGCTACTAACGAGACCACGAAATATCAATCGTTTCTCAGCCACACACTCGTCACACTACGCACTAATTAACAGTAACGAAGTTAGCATTACGCGGATGCACTCGGTTAATAATAATTAATAAACAATAATTAATAATAATCAAGGAATTAATCACAAGCGGGGATATTAAGCGGGAGAGCGAAATCAAACGCACACCGACGCAAAAATTATAATTCACACACAGACACGAGCGTCTCATGCCATCCGTAACGATGATCGCCGATGCTGACCACTGACCTGCTGCTGCTCTATCTGACCCTGGATGCGGTCGTGTTCCGTTGCTATGGTATCGAGCGCGCCGAGGCGGCGTTCCATCTCGTCCACCCACTGCGTGATCGGCTCCAGACGATCGTGAAACTCCTTGGCGACCTCCAGCGTCTCTTCCAGTCCCTGTCTGCGCTCGTGCGCCGCGCCTGCGAGCCAACACAAGAACATGTCAAGAGTTCGTCACGAACGTCACGTGCACCGCAAACGACGAAAGTCGATCAAGATACGAAACAAGAGATGTACACAATATGTATTATTTTATATATTGTGTTATTGTATATATATATATTATAATATACAATATGTAACAATATACTCGAATATTTCACCTACATATACCCTGTTATTACAACTACGTGAGATATTGCAATGGTTGCAGCCAACAAATTACGATCAACATCAACGGAATCATAAATGGTTAATAAAATGTGTGGAATCGAATGCGAAACGTGGCGAGATTTCGTAACTGTGGCATCGAGCGAATCACCGTGCAGACACGACCGTAAGCACTTACCCAGGAGACTCTGGAAGCGCGAACCGAGATCGGTTAGCTGAGCCTGGACGTTCTCTGCCTCCTCCTCGCTGGCCACGGTAGCAATGTCCTCTCCCATCGTCTGCAGTGATCTCAGGTTGTCCTGGCGATCGGCTAGCAGCTTCTCCAAGAACTGTTACAAAATAAAAAATAAAAATTAATGTGCAAATTTTTTCCCCATTGTCCTCCAAGAACTGTTCCAAAATTTAAAAACAAAATTTTTAAACGTGTGAATTTTTTTCTCACAGTGTCGGAAGTTGCCGGATGTCTCTAACAGTCTCGTCAGAGATATCAGGCTCATGATATCCTAAGCAACAACACCATCAAGGATTTTGCGCACTGCTACTTATACTAAGATATATGCCAAACAACAATGGCGAATAACAAGAGAACGCCACTCACCTTCTGCTCCTGCAGCTGCGCCTTCACGACCTTGTAGTCGGCAGACGGCGGCTTCTGATTGGCCACAGCCTCCTCCATCTCGCCGAGCCAGTTGAGCATGCTCGCTAGCGCTTCCTGGAACTTTCCGGACTGCAGCAGCGCGACGTCGAGCCTTCGCTCGCGGTCGGCCGCCGCTTGTTTCAGCGCGCTCCACTTGTCAGAGATGGCGTCAAGGTCGGCCTCGAGCGTTGCCGTGGCGACGCCGGCAGCGGCGCTGTTCACCAATGCCTGTCCCATCGCCATCGTCGCCTCCACCTTCTAGCAGCGCAAATAATAATAATAATAATAATTAATAATTATTATTATTGATATTATTATTGTTTATTATTATTATTATAGTATCAGCAACAGCCGCAGTACTGCAGCAATAGTATTGCAATATTTATCAGCACAAAATGTTAAAAGAACATCAGAACATCAAATCTGTGATCCTTGACAATAACGTCGGATTTATAGTTATTACCTAGCATATAGTTAATACTACTAACAATTCTATATTAAAAACAACAGGATTACTAGATGTTAAGTACAGGATCATTTGACTTTCAGCACGATATCAATAGATATTAATAGATAGTAGATATCAGTAGATATTAATAGATAATAGATATCAGTAGATATTAATAGATAGTAGATATCAGTAGATATTAATAGATAGTAGATATTAATAGATAGTAGATATTAGTAGATATTAATCTCTAGAATAATTTGATATTAACTACGGTGAATACCTTCGTCAGCGGTTCGGCAAACTTCTTCTGGAAGTCGCGGAACTCAGCCCTGCTGCTCTCGTATCGCCGCCACGTCGCCGGACACCGGCTTCAGCGCCCCCTGGACGGGCGGCCGCCGTGTCCAGCATCGCCGCGACCGGCCTCCATGTTGCCCGCGAGGTTCACCGAGCGCGCTCAGTGTCGACGCGACCTCGTCCTGGCGACGCGCGGCCGCGGCAGCGAGCTTCTCGAGCTGCGCCCGCACGCGCTGCACCTGTTCGGCCAGCTCCGCGTCGTCGCACAGCCCCGCGTCGACGAGCGCGTTGCATCGCTCCTCCGCGGCCTCAGCGTCCCGCCCGCGCCGCCTCGACGCGTCCCCGCGAACGCCTCCACCTCCTCGAGCTGCGAGAGCGCGCGGCGGCGACGTCGCGAGACGCCGGCGCCATCTCGTCCGAGTTCGTCCGCGGAGCGAGGGGCGCGGGCGCGCCGAGCGCGGGCGGCGTCGTCTCGAACGCGGGCGACCTCCGGTGCGCGCGTCCCAGCGTGGCGACCCCGGCAGCAACCCCGGCGGGCCAGCGTCGCGTACTGAGCGTCAACGTCGTCGCGTGACGCGTTGCCACCGGCGACGCGTCCTCGCCGGGGTCGCCCGCCGGCGACGAGCGCGTCCGCGAGATCGCGGAGGCTGCGCACGGGGGCGGCTAGCTGCTCGACTTCTTCCTGGAGCGCGGACATGCGCTCGAGGTTTCGGGGGTCTCGTGATCCGCCGCGCGTCTCGACGAGCGCGTGCTTGTCCTGGCATTTCTTGATGGCGGCGAGGGTTTCGCGCGCGCTGTCCTCGAACTCGTGCAGACGCTGCGTCGCCTCCTCCAGCGCGCACACGCGGTCCTGGCAACCTGCGCAGAGCAAGCAGACACGCGCGTGATGGAGGGAGGTCACGACGGAGCGACGTGCGAGGAGAGGGGTTAGGTGACGTTAAATTACGTAGTTAATTCACGTTTGTTCACGTAAAATGATAATTCTAATGTAATAATATAATATTACTTCCTATAGAAATATATATGATATTAATAATAAATTATATCCTGGAAGTCACCACGGAGTGACGCACAGGGGGAGGGGTTACGTAAAATTACAATTCTAATGTAACAACGTAATATTAATTCTAATATAATAATATAATATAATTTTAATATAATAGCATAATATTAATTCGAATATAATATATAATATTATTATTAATATTTACATTTATAACATTAATTTCTACACATATATAAAATTATATTAATAATTCTTAATACACTATAAACTATTAACTTATAAAACACGTCTATTCGACATTAAGCACAAGATAAATGATATCTATTGCGGGAGACTCTATAACAACCCACGAGGTCTGGCGGGGGCGATGACCAGCAGGGGGCGTACCTGTGCCGAGCTCGTCCCAGCGTCGCTGTACGGCCGGCGCGGTGTCTGGCTACGGGTTCGGTCGCAGTCACACATCGCGAGGAAGCCAGAGCCCAGGCTCACCACGTTGTCAAACTCCTTAGTCTTCTTCATCACCTCCTTGTGGAACGCCTGCGTGACGGAAGCAGTGACACAGTGATGAGGACACAAGGTGACAAGAAGACACGAAGACACGGTGACGCAGTGATTCGTGGACAGAGCCAAGGTGACACCGGTCGAATAACAGAAAGGTAAACGCATAGTAGCGGGAAAGTAAGGGAAGCACAGCAGTTGAGTTGGCGAGAAGTAAAGGTGGAGTAGGACAAAGGCATGAGAAATGTAAGCGAGAAGTAAGACAGTCGTAACATTTAACTAACAGATTAGCACCAGTTAAGTATCAGATAAGTCACAGCCATGCAGCAGAGCCATGCGACTCCACAGCATGTGCCGCGAAGCCAGGTCGCGCGTATACGTACCTGCGTTTCCTGCAGCTGTTTCTGAGCGTCTGCGCGGGTCAGGCTGGTCGTCTGCAGCTCCCGCAGCCTCTTCTCGCTGCGCGCGAGCCACGGCAGCAGCAGCTCCACCGCCAGCGCGAACTTTCCGCTCTGCGTCGTCGCCTGCTGCAGCTTGTCGCGTCGCTGACCCGACCTCGCGAGCACGTCGTCCCAGTGTGACCTGCAGGGGTCGCGGAGATGCGTGAAGCAGACGATACGTGGCATAGAAGATGTTATATCATCGATGGCGAGTGGTCACGGACGATTTTTAAATTGGAATTAAAATTAAAATGAAGTCATGGGTTATTGTTTGAGCACCGCGTGTGTAATCGTGAGATGGGTACTTGGTTGAATTCAGTACAAGTGTTATATAGCATCAGCGATACCTCAAATCGTTGATTTTATCCTCCACGTGCTCCTTGACAGTTGGCGACGCCTGATCTGCCATGAGCTGTCCTTTGACGAGCAGCGCCTGAATCTCGTTCTCCCGACTGCTGATCTCACGATGCAGCGGCTGCAAACGACATGCGCATCAGATGATTAAACGGAATAATTATTAATAATTTAATGAAAAATTAACACGATCAATAGTCATAATTAAAGAAAGAACGTAAAAATTATAGATTTTTCTGCAGAATAAACACTATCTCGTCATCACTCGCGCGAGCGGTTTGCATCCCGTTGCCGCGGCGACCGCAGCGTACCACGTGATCGGCGAGCTGCTCTGACAGCTTCTCCGCGCGCCCGGACAGCTGGAAATCGTCGCCTAGGCGACGGTCGGAGTCGGCCAGCCACAGCTCCATCTGTGAGCAGAGCTCGTCGAAATGTTCGCCGGCCTTGACGACCGACGACAGCTCCTGCTTCCTCTTGTCTGCAAGACACACACAGGGTTCATAGTAGTAAGACACATGTTGAAATAAGGACTTATAAGACCCTTTCTGGAGACCAAAATATGACTTTTTTACACAATTACAAATTCTAATGTAAGAACGTATATATTAATTCTAATATAATAATTAATACTTAATTTTACTATAATTCAGGCATAATATTAATTCGAATGATAATTATA